GCAGGAATCCTTATGCACTGCCTTCTGTTTCAAGGAATACTGAATGAATAATGGTGAATTATTACTAAATTATATTTAACATCGTTAGTAGGTCAGAGACATACGGATTCAATAAAACATCTTTTATCTTTATAATAAAACTTAGTAAATGTTACTAGGCTTTTGGCAGCAAGGTAGTTTCAAGTAAAAAAAATCTTGCTGCATGCATGCAAAACTTAATCTCTCCTAATAGTTATGTTGCATAGCATTTTAAGACTCTTATCCCATTATGCTAGTTCCTCGCAAGCATGCAGTACTGACAGAGCTCACCTTTTTATTAAGATAGCTTCTTGTCAAGTCTGAGCTGGTAGATTGAAACACAGATAAGTAAATATGGTAAAAAGAATACAGTGGTGCTTTTTCTGTGTAGTCTTTCCAACTGATAACAGAAAGGGACAAACATATAACCTTTGTAGACTTCTTTTCTAGGGGGCAGAGAGGAAAAATAGCTTTTAGTATTTTCTAAAGGGGCTGTGCTATTTCCATCCTTGGAGGTTTTCAAAACCTGCCTAGAAAAAGTTCCTGAGCAGCCTGGTCTAATCTCATAGCTGACCCTGCTTTGAGCTGGAGGTTGCATTAGAGATCTCTGAAGGTCCCTTTCAGCCTGCATTATTCTATGATTCTAATATATAACTAGAATTTTTCCAACCTTCAAAGTTTCACTCTAAAGATACGCTTTAAGGTTTCAAAGAAACTGGAGAATCAGAACTTCATCCGCTTTTTGTCAGAATTGTTCTAATAGTTTCAGAGAAAACTGTACTATCTAAACGAAATCAAGAGTTTGTGGGTTAAAAGCTTTGAGAGAAATTCCTAAAATTTGCAGAATGAGAAGAGAGCATTACCAGGGAGGTCTAGAAAAGATGCAGTTGTATCCTAGAGAGTATATGGATGTATAACTGAATTTTGTACCCTTAGCACGAGAATGGTTTTTAAATTTGATTGCCATGAAGAGAGAATGGTGTTTTACAGGCATGTTGGGCAGTTCACGTGACTCTGCTGTTAGATTTTACTTTCTACATTCTCAGACATTTTTCAAGGAAGAGATTCAGCATGGTGCTGGTAAGAAAGAGACACTCTCACAGGGGAATCCTCATTGCCCAGTCAGTTATGCTGGCTTACTCATTTTGCAATGAAGTTGGATGTTTTACTGGGTTTCATCTTAGCCTGACTGCAGTAGATTACTTTTGGAAACAGGCCACTGATGGTTAATGAAGATTTTTGTGTATTCTTGCTGAGCTTCTACTGCAAGGCAGAGCCTCCAACTTGTGATTCCTTAAGAACAGCCATTAGTATAGTCCTCATAATTCTCTGCTCTGCTGTTTTTATTGTAGTATATCCAAATCTAAGTCACTTTTCTGCATGTTCTTCTCTTTTTCATTGTATTGTGTTGCTGCGGTGATGTTCTTTTCTTTTCAGATTGTTCATGAGCTCTGTATTCGTAGTTTGTTTTGAAACAAACTAGGTTCTGCCTAGGCAGTTATAATATTTAATTATAGTTATAATTGACAGCAAAGCTTTCAAAATATTCTGTGCTCCTCTTAATTAGAAAAATTAATGAATTTAAACCCAGGTTATATGTATATTTCGGTTCATGATAGAAAATTATATTCAATTATCACTGCACTATATTTGTTCAAAAGAATAAATGTTAATTTATTGTTGAGTAAACTTCTCTGTTTATAGAAAATTCTATTGTGTAATTTATCTGCAGGTTTTTAATGCGAAAACAGCAGAGCTCTTGAGTCACCATCAAGTGGAGATACAGCAAATATTCCCTAAAGAAGGGTATGAATTTTCTGTGGTTTTTTTATTTGTTCATATATGTTTTGGTAGAGATTATGTATTTTTACCTATGAATGATCAAAACTGAAGTTGATTAATAAATATTAAGAACATAGTATCTGCTATAAACTACTGTGTGCAGGAAAAATGTCATTAAAAAAACCCATGTTGGGTGTCCAGTATGTGCTCTGAGTTACATAAACTAAAAATACTTACTGTTTTACTCTACCCACTTATTAACATATTTAAACTTTAAAACTAAAGTTGAAAAGAGACTTAAACTCTCGTTCAAAGTGGTAAAGCTGGTCATTTTTACAATATAATTGTAGTCTTCAGTTTAGTCTGTAGGAATTGCTTAGTTTGTTCTCTGAGGTGGTTTTTTTGTTTGTTCTTAACTGACCTAACATTTGCTGCCAAAGTACTCTGTAGAGAATAAAACCAAACAAAATTCTTTGTTTTCTGTAGATGGTTTTGTTGTGAAAATACAGCTTACTGTTTAAAAAGCATTTGAAATTCATTACACTTTTTCTAGATATGTAAAACATACTTTCTAGTTATGATTATGTCAAAAAGCTCAGCTGGTTTTTCAGACTGGAATTTCTTTTTTTCCCTAAATGTATTTCTTTTCTTTATATTAACTGATGTTTACTGTTTGTTAAAGATGGGTGGAACAAGATCCAAAGGAAATATTAAATTCTGTCCATGAGTGTGTGGAAAGGACCTGTGAGAAACTGCAACAACTGAACATAGACATCACTAACATAAAAGGTATTCCTAGTACTGAAGGGTAACTGAGGTCTTTAACATACTCACAGTTGAGCAAGTCAGATTCTCAAGATTTTAAGTCAGTAAGCAGAAAGGTGCCAACAGGTGTTGGCCTCAAAGAAAATGTTAAATTGGAATTGAGAGAAGTCTGGGAGGGATAATGAGAAAATAAGTTCAGCGTGTATATTAGTAATGCAAAATCTATAAAGTAGTCTTAACCTCATTTTGCAAAGTCAGAGACATAAGTGATGAATGAAGAAGTTCCGAAATTTAAATTAGGACTTACTGGGAAAAGCTATTTTCCCTGTCAGTGTTGTTGCTGTCTGTTTGCGACAAAAATGAGAGATTTAGAACACATAGGTTAAGCAGCAAAAGTTGAATGATGAGTTTTTAGAAGTAGTATTTCTAGATTATAACATGAAAAAGTTAGAAACTTTTTATTTCCCACTTACTTTCCTCTTCTCCTTACCTGTTCCTTCCCACTCTTCACTTCTCCCTTCCCTCCTTCACCCCCCAAAAAGTGTTAAAAAAAAACCTTCTGAAAAGGATACTTATTTCTGTTTTGTCCTGAAGCCATTGGAGTCAGCAATCAGAGAGAAACAACAGTGGTTTGGGACAAGACAACTGGAGAACCTCTTTATAATGCTATTGGTAACTACCATATTTTCTGAATATGTAATATGTTTAAATGACAGTGTTGTAGGAAAATGCTTTCCTAGTTTCCTGTGCAGATCTCATTGTGGCCTGGCCTACTAGTTCTTTGATTTTTTTGATATCTGTGTCATAAACTGTGTGCTTGTATATGGCAGTGCAATCAAAAAAAAGCCTATTGTGTTAAAATTATTACTTAATAGATACTAAATTGCTTTATGGGCTTTTAACAAAAAACAGGATTCATGAGGGATTTTGTACATCCCTGCCATGTAATGAAGCTCTGACTTATGCTCAATCACTTCCTTCTAAATGAAGTAGCTTACAAAATTTTCAGTATGCTTTTGATTTAACTTCAAAGGAAAAATGTGTTAAGTAGGTTTAATTAATAGTTATTGATTTGGAGTTTTATTTTAAATTATCTTGGCTTTTCAGATTATTTCAGCTGAGAAATGGTGATTGTCTAGATTTGCTGTTTTAGGCCATGTCAAGTGCCAGATTTAGTTTGACATAGTGGCACTGAGAAACCAAAACTCTTCTGTATTAAAATATAAGTTGTTTACAGCATTATCTTAAGTTCAGCTGTACCTTGATAACTCTGACATAGCACCTTAGTTCAAAGTTTTCATAGGATTAGTAAATAATCAACCTGCTATTTGTTTTAACCTCCTAGTTTAATGACAGTCATCTGCTGTAAACAAAGTAGTATTAGTCATTTGCTTATGCTCTGGTAGAGGAAAGTATATATCCTATTATGTGGAAAATCTTGTTTGATTTCTCAAACCATTTGTCCTTCTAAATCAAATGACTTCAGCTATTTTTAATTTTTGCAACAGTACATTAAAAATACAATGGCAATACAATATTCTTTCAACTACATGAAAAGCGAAACATAGGAATTTACTGGCAGGAGCTCTAGTTTTGTAGAATAAGCTTGTATATACCACTTTTCATGTATTAAATCAGTTGATAGGTTAATTTTATTTGTGTTTTTAGTGTGGCTTGATCTGAGAACCCAGTCAACAGTTGAACGGCTTCTTGAAAAAATTCCAGGACAAAACAAAGCCATTTTTAAGGTAAGAGATATTCCGGATCATTTAAATAGTAGCTGCACTCTTATTGCTACAGTATATAATTGTTTGGAGATGTGTGCTTAAAATTCCCCAAAACAAAGTAAGTCACTTATAGCTTCTAGTCCCTTCTTTACCTTGTCATATAATAAAAAATGTGCATAATACTGTACTACAGATCTGAGACTGACAAATGGTTATTTTCCTCAAAATAACTGGTTAACAATCCTTACATGTCTCACTAGAGAAGTTAAATGTGTAATCATTAGTGAGACTTAATCATGTGCTACCTATCCAATGATAAGTAAACATCACACACAAAAATTGAGAGCAAGTAGAAATAAACTGTTTGGAAAGTAATTCATTGACGTGAAATATATTATCCTTTCTCATCTTCTGCCTATTGAAATTAATTGCCACCAACCTGAGAACTGGGAAGATATTTTATAAAGATCAAATTAATTCTTTTTTTTATATGAGTGCATATATATATATAACAATTTGGGAAAAAAATGCTTTAAAAAAAAAGTCATAGTTCTTTGACTTATATTTTCCTTGATTGATTGTATAAATATTATACATTTTATATGTTATGTATTTTCCTATAGCCAGGAAATGGATGTCACAAAGCATTTAAACTTACTTGATTTTAAAGTTCTAGTAGAATATAAATTTGGTCTTTCCTGTGTTGTACTGCTCATTTTTGTTGTCTTTGCAAAAATGACAAAATATTGTCTAGTCATATGGAGATACCCTAGATAAGACTTCTGCAAACATCTATTTCCACATAAAATGGTCTTTGAACTGCATGTAGGTCAACTTTGATTTTTGTCCATTAATGCACTGGTCATTTGGTTTTGATATTTTCAGACTTGTGTATTGTATGCATAGTACTTATTTAAATAATAAACTGTAATTTCTCTGAGCTTTATGTCTTTGGTTTTTTTCACCTACTATCACCATTTATTTTATGTACAGTATTCATGGAAAAGACACTTACGTGGTGTGTAACTGATTGGGTTTTTTATTATCTTCCAGCTAAAGACTGGTCTTCCACTTAGCACTTATTTTAGTGCAGTGAAACTTCGATGGCTTTTGGATAATGTGGAAGAGATTAGGAAAGCAGTTCATGATGGAAGAGCTATGTTTGGAACTATTGATTCATGGCTTATATGGGTATGTATTTGTGAGTTTTATATCACTCTCTTAAAAATTAATTTCCATATGATGCAAATTTTAATGCAAAATACTGTGGTACATGATGCCCACTGATTGCATGGCGATGTCAATACAAGCCACTAAAGAAATTCCATTTAAGTTCCTTACAAAATGAACTTTTACTGTTCCTGTATCGCTGTAATTTTATTTATAGATGCTTATATGTAGTTTACTATTTATAGGTTGCTATAAAATTTTGCTCATGCTTCTGGAAAAATCTTGGACTTTGCCACCTTTGCAATATAAGAATCCTGGAGGTACTGCTGTACCCTTATTGCCTCTCTCATTCCTTTGTTCTACGATATCAGATCTGCCTCTATAGCTGTTGCAGAAATGCCAGAGTTCCCAGTCCCAAGCTGAAAGCTTTGTGAATGTAGATTTTATTTTTCTAATTTGTTTAAGTAAACCTGTATCTTTTTTGGCAAATACTGTTGATATTTTTTTTACAGAGTTTGACAGGTGGAAAGAATGGAGGTGTTCACTGTACAGATGTAACAAATGCCAGTAGAACAATGTTGTTCAATATTAATTCCTTGGAATGGGATCCTGAGCTCTGCCAGTGAGTGCAGTTTTTTAGTAACACTTTTATTTAAATATATTCTGTAAGTGATGTGTAAAGAAACTAATTTAATAGAAAGATTCTCTTATCTAGACTACAATCAGCAGTTACTGTTGTATTTACTGTTAACATTAATAATTAAGATTCATTGTTTTCCAGATACCCAAATTACAACTCTGTGTATTAATTAAAAGTAACAGACCCTTGACTTTTTTTCTGTAGGTGTAAGACTAGTTTGTGAAAACAATGACATTGAATAGTTTCTTTATTCCTTAGTCAAATTTGTAAGGCAGTTACAATGATAGTGTCACTATTTAAAATTTAAATTTATTAATAATATTATGAAGATATTGTTGGAAGAAGAATGAGCTCCCATGTAAGAGTTGAATATGTCTTCAAAATATTCAAATATATACTGTTTTACTCTGTAAATCCATGTCACATACTATAACAAGTGGAAAAATACATAGCGATCATAGAAATTAAAGTTCCTTTTCTATTTTTTTCTTTACAACTTAAACTTATTTAAGAAAATAAATGAAAAAGGCTTTCTGAATTATCACTGGCCATATATACAAATTATTTTGTATCGTCTTCAGGTTCTTTGATATTCCTATGGAAATACTTCCAAAAGTACGAAGCTCCTCAGAGATTTATGGCCTCGTGGTATGTTTTCTTGAGTGCATGTGAAGTTAATCTTGTAAAAATATAAGTATATCAATATAGATTTGACAGAATTTTGATAGATTAATAACTTTTTCTAGATCAGCATTGTTTGATTTATGATTAGTATGTCATCATCTACTGTTGTGTAATATTACATGAAGTCGATTATCTGTTGTTTTCTCTTTTAAGTGTCAAATAGACAAAACAAGGTGGGAGTGGTTTTTGATAAGGATAAAAGTTTGATTTTTTTGTTACAATTGCTTGTTGATTTAGAAACTGCCCATCGGAATTGGATGTATAATCAGGAGACTGAAAGAATGAGATTGTTGTTACTAGAGCACAGTATTTTTACTTCTCATACGATTGAAAAGAAGAGATTAAAGTTGCTATGGAAGTCTTCATTATCTAAGAAGACTGGATGAGATGTGTAATGTCTTATTTCCACATAACTGAAGGCGAGATTAGTCAGTTTCTCTGAACTGGAAAATCAAAAGTGACACCTTGAATTGCTTTCTTTTTGAAAAATAAACTCCTCTTACTGTGTTTATTTACATAGCATAGAGTAAAAAAATATTTTGGAATATGTCTTTTTATTCACACTGCCTCCAGTGCAGCTGTGAATATTACTTAGGAGTAAATCATTAATTGTTGTCGTGGGGCTGAGGTTTCAAGTTTACCTGGAAAACACCAACTCTTCTGATACAGTGACATCTAATTTAATGTTTAAATGCTTCAGAATCAGATAAACTGAATGTTGTGATTTTGCATATTTTTTCCTAATAGTTTGCCCTATTGTTTACTAAGAACATACATTTTGTAATTAAGACAAGTTTTGAGATTTTTATTTAAAATATAACACTAACTTGCTTGAAATGTAAGTATTTTTGCTAATCTGTGATGGAGATACCACTAGAAGTCATTGCTGACTTTTATTAATGTGAAGGTCAGAGGAGAGTGAGTTGTATTAAGCTGAATGAGTGAGGTAAATGGAAAAAGATACTACCTAGCAACTGAAACAGAATAGCCGGTCACTTAAATGTGAACTTTTGTTTCTTTTCTCCTTTCCTTCCTTTTTTTTCCTTTTTCTTCCTTTCGCTGACTGTAGAAAATCTGTCCTAGCCTGGTGAGTAGAGGCTTCCATTAGGCTGACCACCTTTATCTTATCCATTCTGTTCAGACACTGTGCATTTCCATTGTCTTAAGGATTAGTAAAAACATACTTTCTAAACCAATAAATTTGGTGGCTGTTTCCAAATTTGAGATATTACAATCAGGGTTCATGCCAAAGTTGTTTCAAAAATGTAGTCTTGATGTATGTGTTTGCCTTCATTTGCAGGTTGTTGAATATTTCTTTTTTATAGTGAAGTAAAAAATACAGCTACTGGCTAATAAATGTTGTCTCTCTCATTTTATAAATAAGAAAAGTGAGCCATTCTGTCTACAAATACTAAGTCTATTATAGTGAAACACCAGATTCATACAGGGTATTTTTAGTGCATTTATAAACTCAATTACTTTATATCCAGTTAATGAAAATGAGAATTAAGGAAAAAAAAGTTCAGATTGGAAATGCACTTGCATGACTTCACTGAAAATGCATTTTCGCAATTGCACAATAGCAATTTAAAGAAAGAAGTAAAAATTGTCAAGATAAAAATTTCTTATAATATCTGTTGCAAGAATGCAACTGAAAAACTATTTGGTAGTGTTTGGACGAAATACTGTTTGAGACTTAAAGTGCTGTATCTTAAAATGAGGCATCTATCTTTGCTTAATGTGTCATCACAATCAAGTTTTTTTCCTAGTCACTTTACCATTTTTGCACTTTTGCATTTTACACTTGACACTGGCTGCACCGGTTACACTGAACTTGATTTTTTCCACACTATGATTTCAATAAAATGTATGTTAAAAACTGCTGAGGTGACATAAAGTATATCTGTAAATTTCCTGCTCTCTATTTTTTAGTGTTTTAGGAGCTGCATTAAGCTGAAGTCCAATGTACACCTGAACTGAACCATGTTGCTTACGTGACCTTTATTTTCCTTTGAGCATTGCAAGTTTAGCTTCTTTTTCATTGCCTTAAACTGTAGTCATGGAAAGCTAATGTGGAACTTTCCTTTCTCTTTTTGTGAATCAGAAATCTGGAGCTTTGACAGGTGTACCAATTTCTGGGGTAAGTGCTACTTCAACTCAGATTCTGGCATAAGAACCTAATACTTCATGAACACATCTTCACTGGAAAAAGTTGTAAGATGGGTGAATCTTGCTACAAATTAATCTGATGGCTTTTCACTTCATGTTAAACATGAAGTAAACTTTTGAAGTTGAATTAGTAATTGACTGTCTTCTTCATATTAAGTTAAGGTCTGGCTGTGGAAATACAGCTGACAGCTTTAACGTCTATGTGTAGTGCCGTGGGAAACTTAGGATCACTAAGTAAAATGAGTAGTGTTACAAAATGGAAGCAAGCTCTGCTTTATATATAAAAGGAGTTCAGCATGTATATATAATCCAGAAATGCTGGACAGATTCTCCACTTTTTCTAACACAACATGCATACAGATACTAAATTTTAATTTTTATTTCTTTAAATTGTTCATAATTTCATTTGCTGTTTTTACAAAGGAAAGAGCAGTAAAAAGCACAAGTTATCTCTATAGAATTTTCCTCAATTTCAACTGCCTGTGTGCTTCTAATAGATTAGAGTTATAGTTAAATATATCTGCTCATGTTCCTTTTTTATGCATGTGGTTCATATGCAGACATTGGCTAAGAAATAATATCTCTTTTCAGTGCTTGGGTGACCAGTCTGCTGCTCTTGTTGGGCAAATGTGTTTCCAAGACGGACAGGCAAAAAATACGTAAGTTACTGTGAAAGTTGTAAGATAAGCAGTACATCACTGTTCTGTTTTGACTTTAGTATTATATTCTCTTTCAAGCTAACTGCTGAGTGCTTTTGTAATTACTGCATAACTACAGCTCTGCCTTTTGACTGTGTTGACTGACAAAGTAAACGCTGTCCTGACTTTTACATCAAATAGTGATGATACTGAAGTTAAACGATTTGTGAGGTATACTTTGGGACAAAGTCATTGTGAGGAAATATCTCTGTGTTTCAGAAGGTTTTTATTTCAAAATTTCCCAAAACACAGATTAAAACAATTGCAGTATCATTTAAATTGTGACCTAAAATTAAACAAATACAGGCCACATGAGTTAGATTGTAGAGACCTGAATGACAAAAAATGCACAGCATTGCTACATGAGAAAGGTTCATTGCAGTTGGAGTGTTTAGTTTTGCTTCTGTGTCTAGCTCAGTGAGGAGAATTTTACATTTGGGGTTTTTTTTCTATTTCTCAGCCTCTTAGTGTTTCATGTTTAAAAGAGCTGATGAGTTAAATCAGGCAACTGGTATAATCAAACATTCATTTGAGGAAAAGCTCTCTGCTTGAATGATTTACTGTTCCACTTAGAACCATGTGCTTAACTGAGCATGTAGGTACATACACAGTACTGGACTTTCACAGATTTAATAACACATTAATCTATACTTGTTGCTAATTAACCTTCACTTTATCTTTTATATTTATACACAAATCTAATGGTTAGCGGCCTTGTATTTTAGTAAAACAAACATGGTTCTAAGTAATAGTGTCAGAAAGTATTTTTATGAGAACTACTTTTATGACACAAGAGACCTTTTGAAAAACATCCTGCTAAACTATCAGGTAAAAGTGAGATCTTTTTAACCTGTTTGTGTTATTGCTTTACCCTTTTTCTCTCCAAATATAACTGAAAATCTTCTCGGTACTATTTTAAGCTATTATTTTTCATGTTATTAAAAAGGTAGGAAACTCATAATTTCTTAGAATAGGTTAGGATGGATGATAAGTATTTTGTACTCCTTTTATTAAACTGTATCTTTTTATGTGTGTATGCATACATATATGAGATGTGGTCTCCAAATGAAAATCATGCTGAATATGTTTAAAGAAAACCCTCTTCTTTGTGAAAGGAACAAAGTTTCTTAGAAGTTTGAGCTTTATATTGTGAAATATTTATTTTATAAAGTAGCTTTCATAATCAGCTTAAAGTGAAGTAGGTAAACACTACCAACAAAGAGGAATTTACACTTCGTTTTCAGCTGTATCTGCTCCTTGATCAGGTATTATACAAGACATAGCCAGAGAGAGATGTTGCAGCTTAAATTGCAGTTTAAATGCAACTGCAGGCTGCATTTAAATCAACTCTTTGAGGATGGTTTTGTCACCAGTTAATGGTAAAATAACCTTCAAGGGGCAAAATTGGTGTCTTTATTTTCCACAGGAGAGTCATGGATTCGTGAATTGCAGTAACAGGTTATCCTTTAAACATCCTGGTTTTAACTTTCCTTTGCTTTCACACTAGGTATGGAACAGGATGTTTCTTGCTGTTCAATACAGGTCCGAAGGTCAGTTGCATTTTTCAGTTGTTAACTTTTTTTTTACAATCTTTGTTTAAGTTTCTGAGTACCACTATATATTAGCCTTTCTTGAATTATTAGCAACAATCATATTGCTAGAGACAAGGCAAAGTGCATACTGAAATCTGAAAAAATAGAAAGTAGTAATTTGTTCAAAGTGTTTCAGTTAGGCTCCATTTCCTAGCTCCTTAAGTTTCCAAAAAGAGCTTTTCATAGCAAGTTTCTTGCTCTTTCCTTGTGTATGTTTCTTAACCTCACCAAGAAGTGCTGAATGTTATGTTACTTAACCACATGCTTTTGTCCTTGTCTTGGCTATTTTATTTCTTCTCTTTGTTTTCTCCCATTGTTTCTTTGTAGTTGTAGTTGAATAAATAATGCAAAGCTTTGGCTTCCTTCTCATTCACATCTCCTTCTAAAGACCTCCAGTCCTTTGCTATAAGGAGGCTGGAAAGATCTGAGGCAGCTTGTGGAAACATCACAGCATCAGCAATCTGAGGGTTCTCTCTTAGAGTGACTAATAATTGACTGTTTAAACTTTCTGTACTTATTTTTTTTTCCAATGGAAAAATGTTTCTTGTTTATTATCACTTGGATATTTTTATTTAAATATTTTTTGCCTCTTTTCATGCTTTGCCTTTTCTTTCCCCTTTCCCCATTTAGGCTGTGTTTTCTGAGCATGGTCTTCTAACCACAATAGCTTACAAACTGGGCAAAGGCAAACCTGTATGTTATGCTTTAGAGGTAAGTCCAGTAATTTTTTTTGTCTTTTAGTGATACATGTTCTTGTTTACTTCTGATTTGTGGTATCCCTATGTTATCTTCAGATGTGTGGAAATCAGCAACAGCTTTGTGTTATAGCCTGTGTGCCTCAAGGCTTGTGTGTGGTTTTGGTTATCCCTATCTCCAATCTATGTCATGTAATCTAATACAAATATTTCTACAATGTAACATTTATATTTTCAGGGCTTGATGGCTAAAACATTTTTCTGTTGCACAGTCTTTCAAATCTTTAATGTTATAAGTAAATTTTAAAAATATACTAAAATTGGGTTTAAAAAGAGAGGGAAAAATACTAGTGTTTCAGTTATCCTCTCATAATAAAAGGCATGACTAAATGTCTTTGGGTTTTATTTCATTCTAATGGACTTTCCTTCTAACTTTAAAAATCTGAATCAAATTTCTGGCACAAGAATCCTCTAACAATTGATCTTTTTCAACCCACTAAGACTTAGGTGCCTACTTCCAGAATTTAGCTCCTCAGTTCTCCACACTACACTGAGGGCATCCAAATTCTGTAGAAAATTGGACTTTTACTGTAACTTCAGGGTTCACTGTTCTAAAGCTCTGCTTCTGAAGCATAGATCAGCTGAGCACCTATTTGGCATCAAAGCTTCACTGGGATCAACAGAATGATTATTTTTCCATCTGTGTTGCTTAGTGGGCTTGATCTAATAGTTATTCTCAAAACATACATACTGAATTTTTTGCTGCCATTGAGCTTTTGTGGAGAGCCTATGCTTTCCACGTGAAACAAAGACAACACGCAGGATTTTCTTTGCTGGGAGAATAGTTTGTGGCTTAGAGTAATTTACTAGGATGTGGGAAGCTGTATTCATTTCCTTTTCCTTCCCTAAGGATAGTTGATCTTGCATTTGCCATGTTCTGGCAGACTTTGAAGATTTTGTTTTGTGCAGGTGTGTGAGAGGTTTGTTTTCTTTTTAACTCATGTTTTTAAAGCAAGAACTGAAACTGTTTGGAGAGTGATTTGTATTTCTGCATGCTGAAACACATGCATTTGTGCTTTGCTTCTTGCTCATCTCCAAGTCTTTAATGATACTGTCTGAAGAAATGGCTTCAACAGAAAATATTGAGTGTTCTTTTTCCTATATCTATGCTAGAACCATCTCCAATCTGCTGGTTGAGACACTTTCCAGAGAGGCAAGAAATGTGGATTCAGTCTTTTCTTTCAATCAAACCCATATCTTGTAACTGTAATAGCTACCTGGTTAGGAAACACCCCTGGACCTTCCAGCAGTGGCTTTGAATGAAAATATAATGCTGCTCCCATTTTACTTGAAGCTTAGTCTAATAAACTTGAGACTGTCTTGAAGAGAAATCCATTTGGACTTTGGAGTGAAATGGGAGCCATGCCATCATATGATGGAGCTATTCAGGACTGTTTGCTGAGGCAACAGAGGAATTTTACTGGCAAATACAAATTTTTTTTCTGTCTGGGCATTTGTATTTAGACTCTGGACATAATCAGTCTTGGTTTTTTTAAATCAAAGCACAAAAATCTTAATTTGCCAGAAAAAGAAGGCTGAGGCTACTGGACCTCATGACTGTACATTCAGGAGAAGACCTAAATTAAAGAGACAAGAAGACTGCTTAGGCAACTTCATGGCAAACCCCTCCATGGAAAAAAGAAAAGCAATATACACCATTTCTACATGGAGCCTATGTAACAGGCTACCATTTTCACTTGCCAGTCTCCTGCTTCTAAGAAATTTGTGGTTCGGTTGTGAGCAGTCGTGGGAGTGCTTTAAGTTGTGACTGTCAGCCTGCAATTGGAGGCCGCAGCAAACCCTTCTGTCCACTCTTGTAAAAAGGAACATGAAGCTGCCAGTGGTTGTCTCCTAATGCTGGGGTTATTTTCTTTCCTTCAGGGATCTGTTGCAATAGCTGGTGCTGTTGTTCGTTGGCTGAGGGACAATCTAGGTATTCTTGACTCTTCACCGGAAATTGGTGAGTATTCACAATTTGAAGCTGTTCAGTTTTTTGAGTTTTCTTTTCCAGTGTATTGATGTCCCTACTGTTGAATGAAAGCTCAAAATACTCAAGTAAAGAAAACCTGGAAGATGCATATATTTTGCTATGTTTGAACAATTTGTTTCGCATCCCTGAAATCACTGTTCATTATGTATTTCATACAGCATAAAAATTCCATCTTTGAAACACTTTGTCAGCTTTGTTCTGTTGCAATCTGTTCTTTTAGTAGTTTCCCTAGCAAGCAGATATTCAGGAAGATACTATACTGAGAGTATATTTCCTTGTTTCATACAATATTGAATTTTTTAGAGCCAGGAGTATTTAAGTCTCTATTGCAGAACCTGGAGCATATTTGATCCTAAACATGTATGTTCATTCCTATCATAAACATGAGAACCTGAGGCCAGACATACGCAACAATTTATATAGATGGCTTCATATCCATTGAGTTATGGACCTCAGTTTGCAAGACTGCTTCTTAAATGAGTTGTGGAGAGTAATCTGTTTTGGCTAAGAATACAGTAATCCTTTAGCAATTGGGTAGCTGGTGTTTTCTGCTTGAGCTGAACTGAAACAAGCTGCTGTGTGACATAGAAACTAGGAATGTATCAAACTTTGAAAAAGGAGAGAATGTTGGACGCAGGCAAGTGTAACAGGTTGAAAGTGATTTAATGAGATTTAGGATGAAAAAAGAATTCATTGCATATTTTTAATAATTTTAAATCTTATTCAAAGGTAGAAAAAATTAGAATTCAAATTTTATTTTAAACTTCAAAGACTATGCAAAAACTTAAAATGCAAGTCTGTTTTTCTGTAAGAAAGCTTTGCAGATCATACAGAAGAATATAAACTACTGTCACATGAATTAGCCAGCTGTTGAAGCACCACAGTACCTGTTGGCTTCACAAGTTTGATTAGACCTTTGGAAGGTTTGAGTTTCAAGAACTTTAATCTTGCCAGTGTCATTAAAGTCATGTGAGACTTCATAATCTCTTTCTGTTTCCTTGAACATGTCCTTCCTTTGTTTTTCTACCTTCACTCCTTTTTTAAGTGAAGTCTGTATGAAAGAACTGTTTCAAAAACACTTTTTGCAAAAGTTTTCCTGCCTCTCTATTGCTATGCTCCTCTGATCCATGCCAATAGAAAAATTTACAAAAGCAGAAAAAATTGCTTTCCTGTCTTGTTACAGGAAGGAGCTACACATTAGCATTACTTTCTTGGCAGTTTTAGTTGTTTTAATATCATTTTTAAATTTAAAACATTTTAATAGTGGAGTGTTCGGATATCCAAAGTTATTACCTAGATATTAAGAAACCAGATTTCCTTGTAGCTGGCCTTGTGATTATATACGTAAGCTGAGAATTTAAAACTCGAAATCCATTTGAAATTAATGAGAATTTAGTTCTTAACTCCCTTTGGTCTTGATCCAGTTTCACTTGCTTGCCTCGACTTAAATGCAAGTAAAATGTGACCTTTTGGACTGCTTTGAAGGCTGCATTCTTTACCCACAGCATACCCTTTGAAAACCTCACAGAATCTAGGTCAGAACATTGAATACATAATTTTGGGTTTTGGTTTTGATTTTACATTTTACATTTCCCACAATGCCCTATGCCCATCTGCCATTCATACAGTTTTAAAAGGACAACTGGTTAATGAGGAGCAGAGTGCCAGAATTAGTTGTATTTTCTAATTGTATGTGTGGCTTGATTATTTTTTTAGCTACCTAACATGTTTTGAATATTTCCCCTATTTAAACAATAACAGTTTTAAGTGTCATATTTAAGTGTTGATATAGTTGTGAAAAGCTAAATGAAGATTGTCATTGTGTGTGCATTAGAAAAACTGGCCGCGGAAGCAGGATCTTCTCATGGCTGCTACTTTGTGCCAGCATTTTCAGGACTATATGCACCATACTGGGAACCCAGTGCAAGGGGGTAAGGATCTGACTAAATGATATTACAAATACTATCACTAGTTCTTCCAGGTATGTGAAATTGTTCTTTTTGTTCCTTTGATGTGTCTGGATAAATCATTCTCCATGGTATGTTCAAGTAACTACTGTGTTTATCTTTTGTATTTAATCTGTTTGAAATAGCAATTGATACTGGGAGAAAAAGAAGGATTCGCTAGCTCAGCTACTCACCCTTCTCTCCCTCCATCTTCCAAAAAAAAGGAGGCAGGGAGCAGAGATAACATGGGCTGGGTTGTGCAATTTGGAGGACAAGTACAAGATAGTTCTATCATTCTTGCCAGTAGTGGGGTGAGCTTTTTTCTTCATGCATTTCTGGCTCAGAAAGGATTTTCATCTCACTAAAGAGAAAGAGGAAGTCTTCATACCTGTGAGCTGTCAGACAACAAAAGTAGAAAATGAAGCATTTAGTGCTGTTTTTCTGAGCTCAGTTTCCCATTACTGCTGCATTCTCTGTCTCAAATGGTACAGGCTACTTAATTTCCTCCACACTTCTCCTCCCTCCCCTTCCCCTTATGTCCAGCTTTCTTTCCAGTCTATTGATCACTTCTCCTTTCCTTCCAGTCCCTTTCCTAGTTGTTAAGACTTAACTAGCTGGTACTAGTTAGAACTACCAGTTCTATTCGTCTTTTCTGCGATTGCGAGCTTGCCTACTGGTGCTGGAATCACAACACTTCATGGGAGTCAGAGAAGCAGAACAAATTTAGATATAACTTTACTAAAGTGAAAGAAGAATTCTTAAAGAATATCTAGTTCGCAAGGTTTCAAGTAGTTGCATCTTCAGAATTTAGATGCTATTTGTGCATAAGGAAGAAAAAAAGTCTTTGAGTTGGATGTTTTTGCAGATCACAGTACTTAACTTTTTAACTGTTAAAAGCTGTAAAAATGTTCTTTAATATCTTTGAACTTACATGCACCAAATACAGCAGCATTTCTGTGTAGTATGCTATTCCTCAGATGCTGAAATAGAATAAAAGGATGAATATTTGCTCTGCAGTTCAGCATACATTGACAGAATTCAGCTTACTCGTGGTTAGATGTGGCATAATTCCAATATCCAAAAGTCTCTTTGAAGGTGCAGAAGCAACTAATGATCAGAACATAACAATCTGAAAACAATTTGAAGCATTTAAAGCACAGCACTAAGCCAGCTGAGCTTTTTCTTAAAACTGAAAGCACTAGAGAATTTATTAAGATTTTAGTGATTGGTGACAGTATTTTTTAAAGAAAGATGAGCCTTGATCATATGTTTTATTTTACTTAAAGGAAGTCTAGTATCTAGGGGGAGGGGTGGGGTTGGGGTTCCATCTCATTTGCATGCAGACTGAGACTAAAATTTTAATTTATGGCAATTGTATTGATTGGACTCTGAAAGCCTATTTTTCAGGAAAACAGGGATGAGAGAGTTTAGATTAAAGAGAAACAAGCTTTTTAATATTAAAAAGCAGTCCTTATACAATGGAACTGAATGAGATTTGAATTAGAAGGCTTAGGTCTGAAGTAATGGTGTATATCTTGTAAAGAAGTATGTTGTAACGGTTTGTTTGGGTTTTTTTTTCTCTTCAACAGTATTATCTGTGGCCTTACTCAGTTTACAAATAAAAACCACATCGCCTTTGCTGCATTAGAAGCGGTCTGCTTTCAAACACGAGAGGTAAAGGCAAATTGCGTCCTAAATTCATTGTACATTAGTATGATTACAGGAACTGTAGCTCTTCAGGAATAGAGAAGATTGGAAAGATTTAATGAAGATTAATCATATGCTTTATATTGTACTTGGATGCCAGTCTTTTCTTTAGTTGGTCCTAATGTTGAAAAGCTGTTCATGTGTACATAGCTACAATGATCTAGTTGGGTGGTACTTTATTCTTTGGTGGCAATCCTGCTTTTTATCAGCACTTATAATAAGGTGAACCTGTTTTGTGAGTACTTTGGAGAGGCAGAGCATAGAAACATTAAAATGACAAGGCCAGTGCCATAACTAAAAAGTTGCATTAGTTCTACAACATAGGAGACTACATTTTATATTGTCTGCAGTGATATGGATGGCTTATGTGGCTTTTGGTACACAAGAACAAAAATTAGTTAAAGCAAGACAGCAGCAAACACGTCAAGAGAAATCTGGATTCACTTCCAGCCCATTATATGTTGTATCACCTTAGCCAGCATTCTGTAACAGCAAACTTAAATTCTCACAGGAGTAATGAGTCCTCCAACCAAATCAAAGGAATTGACATCCGTGTGTTCGGGATATTAGAATCTTTATATCACCATCAAATATAAATTTACATTTCCTGTGTTCTATACAAATACAGGAGAAAATGCAATCCCTAAACCCTAAAGGGTACCAGTCAAACCTTAATTTGATTGCATGTTTTTAAACTGCTGTTATTTAAACATGTTAAGTTTTAAAATAACACCCAGCTAAAACTGTTTGAGAGGAGGAAAACAGCTTGCTGTATCTGTAGTGACATAAAATCCAGTAAGAAGTACTCATGTGGAAATAGACAGCTAGAGATTTCACCCACGTGTCTGCTTTTGAAGCTGTGCTAACAGCCTCTGAGCCTTCAGAAAGTCATAAAAAAGCTTGGAAGTAGCATTATCTCTAATTCTGGTACTAGAAGTCAGAGTAAAGTTACAGAAAACTGAACTGATAGTCTAATTTTTTGTCAGCTCCTCTCTTTCCTTGTTCCTCCTCCCATCCATTCCCCCTCATGTGACGACTCAATGAACTTTCCAGCAGAAAATTATCCCTCTTTTTGCTGGGCTATTTTTTGGCTGGATTAATGACCTCAGCTGCCTCACAGAGGCGTATAGCAAATGTCAGAACGAGAGACAGGGCATGTGGCTGGGTATGGAGAATGGGGAATAATGCTCTCAAACTGTGTGCGGGTTAAGTTAACTGTTTGAACAGATCTAATACTTCCTCATACTTTAGTCAATGCACTGTTATTACAGAGATAGGAGTGCCTGATTAGGTCTCTGGACACACTTAGATAAACAGATTAAGTCCTAATGACTCAGATAAAATATATGTACATTTTACAAAGACACAGTTTTAGTTCTGTCTTGTCAGAAACAAAGTTCTTTTGTTTTAGTACTCACTTTTGTACCTTTCTGGAAAACACTCAAATTTCATGTTCATTGGAGATTTTGCTTGTTTTATTGTGCTGTCCAATCCTTCCGAGTCTCTGTTCTTTATTACCCAAAAACATTCTTCTTTGTGCAGACAGATGACACTTGCTATATTTTTTCTTCCAGAAGACATTATGGAAAGAGAAGCAATTTTTCAGTTCTAAGAGCTGTACAATGCTGTTATTGTACAAAACTTGCACACCTGGATACCTTGCTCTTCGTGCAACCTCAGTACAATAGACATAGGAGCAGTGTGATCTTGATTTGTTTTGCTCCTTCATCCCTTCCTGATTTCTAGCTTTCTTTTCATTTTTTTTAATCTCTACTGAGTGCATAGTATGATCCAACGTGATCTTCCAGATGGGTAAACAAAGTCAGAGCCTCCCACAATTGTCTGTAAAGCTGAGATTATGATGCACTGCTGAAGTTCCAAATAGTAAAAAAGACAGGTGAAATCAGCATAGATGAATGTAAAATGGTACACGGGAAGGAAATAAATTGTGAGGAGCAGTATTAGCTTAATACTGCCAGCAAACTTTGCTGCTGTGCTATGAATCCTCTTTTCCAGGTTATTTCTAATGTGTTGAACAGTGCAGGCCCATGGACACATTCTGCCACCATGAAAACTGGTCTTTTACCTTCCAATTTTTAACCATTTTTTATCCTGTGGCAGTTCTTTTAGTTTTTTTTAAAGATTTTCTGGTAATGACCTTGCTCACTTTCTGGGAATGGATGGAATCTACTGGACAATTCATGTCTGTATAGCTTTTACTACCTTACAAACTTAGAATTTTTTGTTCTTTTTAAAAAAAAATCATGTTGACTTTTGCCAGCAAGGTTTGAATAACTTTGTGAACTACAGAACAGCACAGACTGTATTGTAGTTTTGATCCTTTTTGTAAGAAAAGGATACCTATTTTTTATTCAAACAAATTGAAAAATTACAAAGAGAAAAACATTCTGCACTAGTTAATGCCTAACTTTGCCAAGAAAAATTATGCACTAACCTTAAAAAATGTAAATGGTATTTAATTGACTGCTTTTACAAAACCCTAGAAAATCCACAATTTTGCATTTAATAGGTGTTTGTAGGATAATGCCATGGTGTTACCAGTAGCTGAGGTTTGAGACAAATCTTAAATTTCCAGAAACTGTCTAAAAAGCATATTGATTGGTATCAGTGGATTAAATACTCCACTCTTAGTTAATTAGCCCATGCAGACACTTTAACACTTTTGATTTATTGTCAGCTATCCACTGTGCCCAAAAGAAGGAAACATAATTTTACAAAAAAAATACAGTTTATTTTTGCAGTCTATCTTGTGAAATGTAAAATTCTCCATTTTCACAGCCAATTGAAAATATTTCAAAAGCCTGCTCTTGCAACACATTTCAACCCTCAGCAGTTCCTACTGAAGTGTCTTCCAGATTGCCAGTTCAAACATTTTAATTTTTTAATTCTTTAATCCATCACATTAAGAAAAATACTTAGACAAACTGTGGTCAGCTTCAGGACTCCATTTACTATTACTTCTTCCTTGATTAGCTTTGATAGATGTTGTAGTTGTCATCAGCTTTTCTTCACAATTCTTCTCAGACCATATAAGCAGCACATAGGCTGGGTACAGTGCATCACAGGAGAAACGTCTCCTACACTAGGATTTCTGTAATAAATAGAATAAATTTGCTATATATTAAACAAAACTGTCTTGTCACTACCTCTGTTTCGACCTCTTGATATATATAGGGGAGGGAAATTATGTACTAAACACTCTTCAGTAAATGCTGAATTATCAGTATTTTACACTCAGAGGTTATCATTAATTTCTCTGCAATTAAATAATAACATATATTACTCTTACTTAAGATTTTAGATGCCATAAACAAGGACTCTGGGATACCACTAAGTCAGTTACAAGTAGACGGAGGAATGACCAATAACAAACTCCTCATGCAACTCCAATCAGACATTCTCTGTATTCCAGTAGGTAAGATGACAGAAATTACAACTTCTGTTTTCTTTTTGAAGCTGTAAAAGGCTCTTTAGCTTTTGAAGGTCGTGTTTCAATACAAAAAGGCTCTTCAAAGACCTCACTTGAAACCTGGAGCATTTCCATGTCAGTGAAAAGGGTGCATCATTCTGAAGACGTATTTTAACACCTGTATCAGAGCCCGAGTTGGTGAGAACTGTAAGCTATACATTAGCGTTCTTACAGACAAAGTGTGTCACTAACATCAGGATATTACACATGTTCATCTGCTGAAGACTGAGAATTTGCTGCATAAATGTAATAAACTTATTTAATATGCAGCTTCTAGAAAATAATTTAGAAAAACATTGTGATGTCTCTCATGCATAAATGTGAGACACTTCAGTGGAAAGTTTTTAACTCTACTGATATTATAGCTTGCCTTTAATAATACATAATACACAAGACTCATACTATCTATGCAGATGTATAGTTAGCAGATAAAAGGATATGATCAATAAAATCAGATTTTAAAGGATCCTCTGCCTGAAGCAGAGAAGCAGGCAGTTCTAGAGTTAATGGAACACATTTACCATTGACATCTCACGTTTGGGATGGTCTCCTGTAGCATCTGTGGAAGGCAAGCAAGCTAGTAAGTAAGTACAGATGTACCTCCTTTAAGATGCCTTTTCCAAATATAAATGCTTTCAATAACACAGTATCTAGAGCATGGGAACAAAACTGATAAATTAGTCGGTGATCAGTGCTTTGAGGAGGGAGGAAGCAGACAAAAACATAGTATTTTATTAACAGGAATACTGTGAGGAAAGTGATGGCTGAGGTCTGCAGCCCTGCATATAGTGTGAAAATAGGCAATTGCATGTTTTAGTCTTGAAGGAAGTAATGATCTGAGATATTTCAAAAACTTGTATGACTCGCAGGTAAAGTTAGGCTCATAACCATGTGAATGACAATAAAACAAGGTTTGCAGTTTGTAAACTTAAAGGAAGCATATAGCAATGATAGAAAATAAATATAATTCTAGATATACACATGAATCTTTAGTTCCAATGTCAGCAAGGTGAATTTCATTAAAAATCATCATGACCTTCTCTGTGATTTATTTCAGTAAAACCATCAATGCCTGAAACAACAGCTCTAGGAGCTGCTATGGCAGCAGGAGCTGCAGAAGGAGTTGAAATTTGGAGTTTGAATCCTGGAGATTTGACAGCAGTGACATGTGAACGATTTGAGCCACAGATCAACCCAAAGGGTAAAACCCTTTCATATTATCTCAGAACTTGCAAGCTTAATATTTTCTATCCAACAGATTGGGTTTTTCCTTTGTTGCAGTCTAACATGCTGATATAAAGTGGTTGATGTGGTAGTGATGGTGTTAGAGTCACCATCCATGGAGGTGTTTAAAAGGCGAGTAGATGTCATGCTTAGGGACATGGTCTAGTGGTGAACTTAGTAGGGCTGGATCGATGGTTGGACTCAATGATCTTGAAATCTTTTCCATCTGAAACCATTCTATAAAACCAGCTATCTATGAATATCCTCACAAATGTTGAAGATCAACATTGTAGCATTTAGTTTAGAGAAAAGAGCATTTCACTTGCAGTTTTGTCTATTTATTGACTATTAAGATTGGAAATTTGTTAAACCAGCATAATTCCACAGGGGAATGTGGTGGGGTTTTTTTCTGTCTCTTTTTTTAAGAGAAGATTGCCAGTAGGCATTGCAGTTAGTAGCTTTTGTTTATAGTAAGTAAAATCAAAGAAATCTTGAAAAGCTTTTACTGAGAAAGATGTGTCCTAAAGCTCCTGTGCATTTGTAAGTTTTCACAGGTTTAGAAAAGACAGACACTATTTTTTGGAGAGTTTTCTTTTGGCTTTAAAAAGCCTACATTAATCACTGTTTTTTAGCTAACATTTTTATCAGTTCCTAAGTGCTTCTAGAGTTGGAAAGCATGAACTTGGCATAATTAATCCATCTACAAGAAAAATGCATTTTTGTATTTTTAATTATTTCTTAATTTTTGGTACAGAATTTTGTCCTACCAATTTGATTATAATTACTGCTATAATCGCTACTTCAAGACAGTATTTTCAACACTGAAGGGCTTCTTCATGAATAACAATTGCTTCCTGTTGTCCTAGTTGTAAATCTTCTTATGGTGAACTTGCATAAAATTGATTTTAAGGTTTAAGTCTCCCTACTGTGCGTATCTGTGGGGTTTGGGTTATTTTGGTTTGTTTCTTTTTTATTATTATTCAGAACAGTGTTTTATAATACTTGTTCTGTGCAGACAAACTATACTATGCAAAAGAGTGGAAAGCTGGTACTGTAGCGTTTGCTTCTTAACATATGTAGTTGTATTCATATCCATTGAGAAGCTTTTTTGTTTGCTGATTTCTCAATTTCAGAAAGCGAATTTCGCTATGCCAGATGGAAGAAAGCTGTGGTAAAATCTATGGGCTGGGAAACATCCGAAGCTCCTTCAAATGGTAAATCAGAAATTATTGCAGATCAAGTATTATTATCTAGTCAATTAGCCTACGTAGTTAATCTTGAGTTTGGTGACCTTTTCTGTTCGTATAATCTCTGGACTAACACAATGATTTAAAAATTATTACATAAAACCACTATGGAAACAAAGAAAAAGATAGATAGATAGATAGATAGATAGATAGTTCTTCCTCTGGAAAGGAGGGCACAGGCAGTATCTTATAGAATCATAGAATGTATTGGGTTGGAAGAGACCTTTAAAGATCATCTAGTCCTGTCCCTGCAGTAAGCAGGGACAATATTACTAGATCAGGTTGCTCAGAGCCCCATCAAGCCTCACCTTGAATATCTCCAAGGATGGGAGATATTCACTACCGCTCTGGGCAACCTGTTCCAGTGATCTATCACCCTCGTGTTGAAGAACGTTTTCCTAATATCCAACCTAAATCTACGCTTTTCTAGTTTAAAACCATTACCCCTCGTCCTATTGCTGCACGACTTTGTGAACAGCTCTTCCCCAGCTTTCTTATAGACACCTTTCAGGTACTGGAAGGTTGCTATAAGGTCCCCTCAGAGCCTTCTCTTCTCCAGGCTGAACAACTCCAATGCTCTCAGCCTGTCTTCATGGGAGAGGTGCTCCAGCCCTCTGATCATCTTTGTGGCCATCCTCTGGACAAGTTCCAACAGGTCTACATCCTTCTTGTGTTGAGGGCTCCAAAGCTGGACACAGTATTCCAGGTGAGGTCTCACCAGAGCAGAGTAGAGGGGCAGAATCACCTCCCTCAATCTGCTGGCCACACTTCTTTTGGTGCAGCCCAGGATGCGGTTGGCCTTCTGGGCTGCAGATGCACATTGGTGGCTCATGTCCAGCTTTTCATCTACTAGTACCTCCAGGTCCTTTTCCTCAGGGCTGCTTTCCAGCACATCATCTCCTAGCTTGTATTGGTAACCAGGATTTTTCTGACCCAGGTGCAGGACCCTGCACTTGGCCTTGTTGAACCTCATGAGGTTCACCTGGGCCCACTTCTCCAGCTTGTCTAGGTCCCTCTGGAAGGCATCACTTCCCCTTGGCACATTAACCTCACCACCTGGCTTGATATTGTCAGCAAACTTGCTGAAGGTGCATTAAATCCTGCTGTCAATATTATTAATGAAGATAATAAACAGCACTTGTCCCAGTACGGGCCCTTGAGGGACACCACTTGTCACCATCTTCCATCTGAACATCGAGCCATTGACTACTACTCTCTGGATGCGTCCATCCAGCCAATTCCTTATCCACCGAACAGTCCACCCATCAAATCCATACCTCTCTAACTTAGAGAGAAGAATGTTATGGGGGACCATGACAAAGGCCTTGCAGAAATCCAAGTAGATGATATCCATAGCTCTTCCCTTGTCAATTGATGCAGTTACCCCATTATAGAAAGCCACTAGGTTGGTCAGGCAGGACCTGCCCCTAGTAAAGCCATGCTGGCTGTCTCAGATCACCTCCCTATCCTTCATATGCTCAGCATAGCTTCTGGGAGGATCTGTTCCATGATCTTCCCAGGCACAGAGGTGAAGCTGACAGATCGGTAGTTCCCAGGGTCCTCCTTTCTACCCTTCTTAATGATGTTTCCTTTTTCCCAGTCACTAGGGACTTCACCTGACTGCCATGACTTTTCAAATATCATGGAGAGTGGCTTGGCCACTACATCAACCAATTCCTTCAGGACTCTGGGATGCATCTCATCAGGTCCCATGGACTTGTGTATGTTCAGGTACCTCAGATGGTCACGAACCTTGTCTATACGTACAGTGGGAGGGACTTTTTCTCCCTGGTCCCTGTCTTGTGGGCCATCAACTTGAGAGCTGTGAGAGGAGACATTGCCAATGAAGACCAAGGCAAAAAAGTTCTGAACCTCAGCCTTGAGTCACATCTCTTGTTACCAGTTTACTATTCTTGCTCATCAGTGCAGGTACACTTTCTTTAACCTTCCTTTTCTGGTTGACATACCTGTAGAAGCCCTTCCTGTTCTTCTTGGCCTCTCTTGCCAAGTTCAGCTCCAGCCATGCCTTGGCCTTCCTGATGTCATCCCTACACACCCAGGCAACATCCCTGTACTCTTCCCAGGATACTTGTCCCTATTCCCACTGCCTATGCAGTTCCATCTGGCCTTTTAGTTTGGCCAGCAGGTCTCGACTCATCCACACTGGTCTCCTGCCTTCACTGCCCGATTTCCTACACTTGGAGATCGAGAGATCTTGCACTCTGTGGAAAGCCTTGTTAAAGATCTGTCAGCTCTGTTAATCACAGAATCACAGAATGTTAG